CCTTAAGATTTTAAAATGTAACATATATTATGAAACACTCTTTATTAAAAAGTTCTTCAAGATGTTACGAAAATTTTTGCAAACACGCACATGTATGATTGGCTGAAACTTTAAATGGCAGTAACTTCCTTAGTTTTCTACAAAACAGGATGAAATTTAAAATAGAGATAGGTATAATGAGTTTCTACATTATGCTGCTATCAAAATTGAATATAAGAACATACATGTGATGAAATCTGATTGGCTAATACTTTATATACTGTATCTCTTTTACTTTACAATAAAATACTTTGAAATCTAAGACATGGGTATAAATTATAAGGCACTATAAGTATAAATATATGAGAAATCTAGAAAATACACAGCAGCACGTGTGTTGAAATCCGATTGGCTAAAACTGTAGGTATTTATCATTTTCTTATTTTTTAACAAAAGAGAGAAGACGAAATTCAGATTATATGAAAATAAATAATACAAGTCTACAGTATGGAATCATCAGAAATGAGTACGAGGACAGGCATGCAAGTGTGCTAAATTCTGATTGGTTAATATTCAGGTCGCTTTAACATTCTACTTTTTCAGGGAAATTCCTTGAAATTTAAATCTGACTCTTTATTAGGGCATACTTTGAGATGAGGTATATTCGAAAACTCGTGCATGCACTTGTACTTAAGTCTAATTGGGTTATGCTCATTTTGCTATATGTGCGTTGTTATTTCCCCAAATGATTTAAAAAATAAGATAAAAAAGTTTATAACACATAGATTTTGCTTAATTCAATGAAGCTTAAAGGGAATAGGACAGCAAAAGGGAGTAGGGGAGCATTTGGGGAACATCTGTAGCGCTTTTCGTTACAATCAGAACTAGTTAATTTTGAATTTATATAAAATGTCGAAAAAGAACACTCGGTCATTATTCAATGGAAGTCATTATTCGTCTTTTCGCCAATACTGTAAACTTCTACCAATAAAATGTTTAGGTAAGTGCTATGCTTGAAAGAAAATACTTTTAAAAAATGCACTTGAATGGCGATTATAAGCACTGAATTGTGTATATGTCTTTTTGTTTGTCCCTTTCACAGATTTGTATTGTTTGTAAGGTTTTTTTTGATAGATTGGTGTTCGTTATCTTCTTTATTTTCATTACTGATAAGAATGAGCTAGTAGGTGGTTAAGAAAGGAGTTTTGGGCTGATATAGGATGTGATTTCGTAAAGGGTATTTTCATTACTCTCATTATAATGCTAAAAATCCTGCATATTGTAGAGTTATGAACAACACAACATCCCCCCCCCATCCCCGCCCCCCATTTTCATATCACTTTTGAAAGTGTAAGTAAAAGAAGTGAACATGAAAGTAATAATCTGTTCATTTATATAGTTCATAACTTACTTATGTGTTCTACGGTAAATGATGCACATGTGTTTACATCTTGCTTACTTTTGTTTTCCAGTTTACTAAAATGTTTTTATAATGAATACTGGCGTATTCCTAATGTTATATTATGGATTTTTCTGTTACTGCGGGAAATATGAATAGCATGTTCTTTTGATAATGACTGAATGTATACGAGATTTTTGAAAACATAAGAAATGAATATGATTCAAAATTACGGGGTTTTTTTTAAAATCATTTTTATAGATCTAGACGAGAATCGACGAGATTTTGCTAAGAGAATTCTGTATTGAGATATTTTGTTATATTTCTGTTAATAGAGAGGTTTAGCAAGCTCAATTGTACATGTACTTGTCCGTGTAAACTACAAGTCAGAATTACAAGTACACGCTTACATTATTATGGTGGCATATTTCTGCCCCTACATGCAAGATAAATTATGTTAACATGCGAGAAAAGTTTGTCACCATGCAATTTAATTATGTCTACTTGCATAATAATCATACAAGCAAGATGTAACAGAATTATACTGACATGCGACTTAATTATGTCCACTGTGACTTATTGATGCCAACATGCAACTTATTTATGTTCAATATTCAACTTATTTAATATGAAAGTTATTTATGTCATCATGCGAGTTATATTTTGACACGCCAGATGTTTATCTCACCATGCAAGATAATGTCAACACACATATATCGCATGTTGACATAATTAACTCGCATTTTAACATAATTATCTTGCATGTTGACATAAATAAGTCGCATGTCTACATAATTATCTCGCATATTAACATAAGTAAGTTGCATGTCAGCATAATTCTGTTGCATATTGCCTGTATCATGTCATATAATGGCGTTGATAAGTAATTTTACCAACATAAAAATTAGATTCTCTAAAGAGATTGTTAACTTGTATGTCAACATAATTATTTTGCATGATGACATAAATACGTCATATGTTTACATAATTATGTTGCATGTTAACATAATTTATCTTGCATGTAGGTGGCAGAAATATGCCACCATACATTATTTCTCTTGTTTAGCAATGTATAACGTGTATGTGTGCTTGTAAGTCTTTTAAATGTAGAAGTACTTATCATTAATAATCTTTAGAGAGCACATGAAAAATAGTATGTATATCTCTGCTTTTAATGAATATATGCATATATTTATAAGAAATAATTTGAAAAGAGTTATTATAATTTTAATCCGTCAAAGCATGTTTTTAAAATCTAGATGTTGTGCATTTAACACTCTGTATATTTGTATTTTTCATTCATAGACGTTTAGTTCTTTATATCAGTACTTATTTGCATCAAACTTCAGGTTTTAGAAAATCGCACATTTTTATTGAAATCAACAGCGGATAAGGAAACATAAGCTATAAAGTTGGACTTGCGTGTACTCGGCAATGACATTTGCGTAAATGGATACGTGTAGAATAGCAAAATAGATGACGAAATGCACAGATTTCCGGGGGGGGGGGATCCCCTGCTACACGTACACGTTGGTTTACCTCTCTAATGTCACATGATAATACATATTCTGTGTTTTTCTCTATTTTTCTATGGTTTGCTCGTGCGATGTATAGAACTCTGTTTTTATTAGTATAAAAGCCTGGTAAATGCTGTAAATCGGGGTCTTTGGTCCTCTCTCATTCTTAAGGAGGATGGATCCTGTTATCAAAAGTATTGAGAATTTTTTATCAAGTATATTTTTGGAATCTAGACACATAGCTTAATTAAAAATCAAAACCAAAAATGGGGGTCAATGCGCTTCTTTCGACGCTACGGAGCATTTAATATGACCTTTTTGCACTTTAATTACGTCTAACACATAAATCAATTTTTCAAAGTTTTTCCTCTAATATTTTTTATCCAAATAAATTATGTGAACAAATACAGTTTTTTTTCGTCTTGAATAGTCTCTGTAAAATTTGTGACAACAAAAAAGTTTCACATTTCTTCGCATAGTCAATTATTTGACCTTTTTGCACTCAAAAAATGTCATTTTTCTGGCATTAAAAATTTAACAAGAAATAAAATCATTTGAAAGTAATGACATTTTTCTGAGATTAAGCAGAATGGTTAAAATTATCTTGTTTATTCAGAAAATAAAATTAAAAGTGGGCGTATGTGATGTTAATTTTTAGATATAACTAAAATAGTGCTAATTTTTAGCCTAAAATGGGCTATTTTTTCCTCAAGACTTTCACAATATATTTGTTATATTCGTCCAATATGATGACAGAATTCATGACGGTTAATTTGATATATTATTTAGGATCAGCATAAAACATTTCACTGCTCAAAATAACTCTGTGTGCAGGCTGCATGTAAAGATAGGAATCCAAACTTAACAATACTGTAAATATTTCGAATGAGAAAAATAGATCATTTTCTGCTATAAAACATTCCCCCACAAAATATAGTTCCTGACTTAATGCTTTCAGTACGGAATTTAATCATGAGGTTTTAATTGAATATAGTAAAATTAGCATTGCAGAATACAAATTTATTGTAAGAACTAAAACATTATGCAGAATTTTTTAGATAGAGGTCCACACAAAAATCTGCTCAAAAGCTCAGGAACGAACCTCGTTAAGGCACAAAGTCATTTTTATTTTATTTTTGTTATTGTTTAGGCATCTTAATTTATGAAAGGAGATTTTATTGAGTTTTATTCACGGAAAGTTGTTTTATTGAATTAAGTAGTAGCAAATGTTTTGGTAATTTATTTGGCTGATTTTAGGGATTAGTTTGGTACTTTCATCATTTTAGATATGATAAAAAAACCCTAGATTTGGTAGATTTTTATTTAGTTTTTACACCCCGCTTGAAAAGTGGGGGGTATATAGTGATGGGGATTTCCGTCCGTCTGTGCATCCGTCCGTCCGTTACCCTTTAGGGTACACATCTCATCCGCAACTCCTCCTATACAATTCAATGAAATCTAATGATACTTTCACGAAATCTTTGTTACATAGTGCCATTGTGCACCTCCTATTTTACGTTTTGATCGGACACATATTTCGGGTTTCCAATAGCAAAACACAGACACTGCCAGTTTTTCTATAATATTGAGGGGTACCCATCTTTTATTCGCAACACCTTCTATACCACTGTATAAAATGTATTGATACCTTCACAGAATCTTTGTTACATAGTGCCATTGTGCGTCTCCTTTTTCACTTTTTGATCGGACCAATATTTCGGGTCTCCCATAGCAAAACATGGACTTTGCCATTATAAACAAATGGGACGCAGGGGGTATCATTAAACTAAAAAATTGAAACTAAAAAAAAATTAAGTACATATAAACACACTAAAATTTTGCGTGACAAAATATCAACCTTTCAAATCTCAAATGTGTATTTGTTCCTTCGTCTGAATATCTGATAGAGAGGGAGTCACAAAAAACTCACCATATTTCCCTTTTTCTTTTCATCATCGATATAAAGACCAAACGTTTAAAGAGAAAGACATTATCTTTTGTATAACATTTTTAAGGCAGAAAGTTATTGTACAAGAGTTTATATTGCTTAGGGTAATTCTTACATTGTAAAAGAAACTTTAAAAATATTTTATAATTCATTGTAGGAAACTCTTTGCTTTTGCACCGAGAATGTAACAGCGGGTGTCATTAAAAATTTGACCTGCAATCAACAAAATTCAAGGAACTTCAAAAATGACTTAATCGGAACTGGTAACGATACGAGAACGGGAACGGGAAATTATGTATTTGCCTTGTATAGGAAAGTCAGAGTAAACACAGAAATAGGTAAAGCTGTTATTAATCGCAAAAAATCTGTAATAATCCAAAGTAAATTTCCTTCATTTTGTTATTCTTAAAAAATAAATAATTGTTCGTTATCTTCACGTTTATCATTCTTTCACACTGTGACAAAATATCACTTTTATTCAATGAATAAGTTACATTTCTTCACTGTTGAAATTGTAATAAAAAGCAGTTTAGCGCATACAAATCTATCCTCTTATTTAAAAAAAAAGATTTATTCTTCTCATACCATGATTCAAGAACACTAACTCGAAGCATAGTATTTTTTTTCACTTTTAAACAACTGATTTTTACTTTGTTACAATATCAATGTTATCTTTGGAGACCAGGTCTTCTAATAATAGGTTGAAATTGCCATGGGTAATAATTGTGCTCCGTTATTAGACATATTTGTGTATTCTTATGTAGCAGACATAATTCAAAAAAACTTCTATATGAAAAGAAGTTTCTTGCTGTGGCCTTCAATTTACATATATATCGATGACGTTTTATCAATTAACAATGGTTATTTCCATTCTTATGTCTATACGATATATCCTGGTGAGCTTTAAATAAAAGATACCACATAGTCTGACACATCTGTTTCATGTTTGGATATTTTACTAGAAAAAGGCATTAATGGTAATCTAACAACCAATCTTTATGATAAACCTGATGACTTCAACTGATTTTCTTTATGTAGCAATATACCATTATCATCTTCATCTGGGTTTTATGTTCCTTGTTGATTCGATACGAAAGAGCATAATCTACGTACGATCAATTTCTAAAACGATGCCGACTATTGACAAAATGTTTCCTTTATGAAATATTGGTGGTAACAATAACTATGGTCGCAATTAAAATATTTCACCTATAGGAAAGATTTGCCCCATGGAATAAAATGTGGGGAATTATAGCTTGAAATATGGGTTCATGTATTTTAATATTTTAGAAGAACATTTCTCTTCACAGATGAGACATTAGGCGAGTGTCTGTTGGAGTCAAAGAAAGGAAATAAGACGTATCCTTGTGATGCTGCAGGTTTGTTATGTCGATATCAAATGGCTCTTCTAATTAATGTATCTGAATTTGAAGAAATCCACCTTTACAATTTAATTGTTAGATATAACACATAGAACGTGGGTACAAAGACATCGAAATGTGATAAATAATAACAGTCTTCCAAGATGGACGCCTTATGTTCGACGATTGATTATAAGCTGGAAGAAAGGTAAGAACACAATATTGACTTTTATATATCTTATATATATAATCACTGTTTATAAGTTCGTAGCTGTTTATCTAAACTTTAAAATTAAGTTTGGTTTAAATCATTGAATTCCGGTAATAAAATGATTTGATGATTTATTAAACACACGTATTTATATCCAAATATTTATCTGAGGTTCAAATTTATGCTTTATACATTTTTTAAAACTCTTTTTCCTTTTTATACTTTAATTTGGATTTAATAAAAATAGCCGACGAAAGGATATATACCCTATCATTCAGTAATCAATTATATAATAAACTTTATAGTTTTTTGCTCAGATTCTGGAATTGTCTTTTATCTTTTTTACAATTGTTATTGTAAATCTGAACAGATTGAATTAGATCATTATGCCAAGGTAAACAAATAGAATTACTAATTTATATTGTTTAGCGTTTGATATGATAAAGGTCAAACAAATTGAAATTACTTACATGTATATGACATCTTATCCCTCTTTGATGTTTCCATGGGTCCATGTTTGATCTGCTCTCAATTTGAATTGTTTTCATGAACTGTGAACTTTATGAGTGTTCGTAATTTTTCATTTCATTTAAACACTACCTTTTTTTTTAACATTTTACATATTTTGACCAGATAGCAGTGCTGAACAGAACGCTCCAGTATGTATCGGAGTTCATAACCAGAATGGATCTTATGAACCTCTGCCTCTACGCTGTAACGAAACTCATACCTCCATATGCAAGAATGCTGACATAACGACAGGTAACTATAAAATCTTATCTCTTACGTTTTCAAAGATGTGAGCTACAGTGCCTTCATTTGAAAAAAAAGTGTATATTTATTGCGCACAAAAAAGCGTTTTATTGTGCACGATAAATATACACTTTTCTCAATGGGTGGCACTGAAGTTCTCTCGTCCATCAAATTTTTTTTTAGACCGGCGAGCTACAGATCTGCAGTTATTCTGAAATATATAAGATATAACTAATATAGAGGAAAAAGAAATATGTCGGGCATTTTCCAAAAGGCTTTTGAGCTTGATTTATGTTAATTATCTTCATATTTCATGATGATGATTTAACAGGAAACGTAAAACTGTATGTCCTGAACATTTCTTACCTCTACAGATTTAATATTTTTAAAAATTTTGAATAGTTGATAAATTTTTAATATAGGTACAAACACACTGCGGACCACAATATCTAATTTTGAAAGAGAGAGAGGACAAACAACTGTTGCTGACCAGATAGAAGGTTCCTCATTTTCAGAACGACAATGTTTATTATAAGTATTAGAGACTTTGTCGTATTAATTATTTTCCAGACTATAAAATAAAAAGGGCTCTCTTTATATTTTTTTTTTTTGCATCTAAAACTAAATATAAAATAAAATTGTTTTGATATGTTATTATGAACAATAATAGAAAGGTGCTCCTCTTGGAGTTTATATGGTATGTAGAAATGGAAATACTGACTTTATTCCTGAAAAAAAAAATTGTTGCAACCAAGACTTAAAATTGAAATGAAATGTATTACTAAAAATTTCTTTTTAAATTTTATTTTACTAAAAGTTTTTTTATTCTATACATAACTCTTTGATGATAAAAATAAACTATTTCTAAAACTTAATAATTGATTTAGTTTTAACATAGATACAACTACACCGCATACCACAAGCTCTGATCTCAGAACATCTATGGGACACGCCACCTTTGTGCACCACATAACATCTACTACTCCCTTTAATCGCCAGAACAACCATGACGGTTAAAATACCTTTTAAATACCTTTTTTCTGAAACTTTATTTTCACATTGTTTCAACGGAGATATTTCTCTTTTGACTGCTATTATCTATATCTACTTATAAATGATATTTATTTACTTAATGTTGTAAAGGTAAGAAACAGTATGCTCTGCTTTAAAGTTAGCCGTTCATGCTCCACAGATTTCATGCATCGTACTTTAACAGATATTACATTATAATGATACAGTTCAGTTTATACAAAACCTGTAAAATCTGTTCAACCTTTTGCATTATTTTATTGATTCAACGGAATATACATGTAAAATATTACAATGAGAAAGACCTCTTTCAGTTCGATATCGTACTTGAAAAAAAAATCTTGATGATGATTTTTTTTATTCTGGAACTTAAAACAAACGGAAAACAAACAAAACAGTATTTATAATTTACAATTTGATAAACTTTTTAATAGGTTTATATGAAATAATTAATTTGTTTGTTTGTTTTACTTCCCTTTTTGAATTTGTAAATTATATGACACTAATTATCGGTGGACAGCTGCATTAAGCAGTGAGAGATCGTTTTGTGTTAGCACTTACTGCGACATGGGACCTCGATTAACCTCGATTAACATGGTTTCATCTGATGAATTCGTCTCTTTGTTGTACGGTAGGATTCGAATCCGCGACGTAAGGATCAACTACTTACTTTGAGAGTATAAAGTAAAACGTTCTAACCACTGCACCATTCAGGCAACTATTTAGTATTGATTTACAAGTTTAAAGTAATTGCATTGTGAATGATCACGACTTTTAATAATTCTATCACTTGACTATAATCATTTTAGTTTTTGTTTGTTGTTTAACGTCTACAAATTTTGACCTATACTCGGCACTCGCCACTGAGCAGTGAGGGATCTTTTTCGTGCCAGCACCTACTGCGACACGGGACCTCGGTTTATACGGTCTCATCCGAAGGATCGGTCTCCACGTCCCACAGTGGGATTCATCCCGCGACGTAAGGATCAACTCCTTACTTCGCGACTCTATAGCGAACTCTCTAGCTAGCTACTGCACCACGCGGGCGACTAATCATTTTAGAAATTTTCCATAGAATAAAAAAATGGCAAAAGCACGCGACAATAGTACACAGACGTTTTGTGTACTATAAAGTTTTCAGCATTTAGTGCAAGCCATACTGTGAATTATTATGCTTCCTGTCAGTTTGTCTCTTTATAATCAATACCCAACTATTATCGCATAGTGTTCAAAGGATTTATATAGCGTAAGCATATTATGTCGGAATAATGTATGGCTTCATTTTCTAAGGAAAATCCGACATAACCCACGCCGGGAATCGAACTCACAACCCCGAGATTGTTAGTCCGACGAGTACCGATTTAGCCACAGACGCCGTTAACAACAACATTCTAATATATATAAACTTAGTTTCCAATATATGAAACTTAAAACTATTTTTTTCAAAAAATAGTTTTTTATTCCTTCACTAAACTAAAATCTTTTGAAGCTATCTGTAATTTATATCTAAATTGCATGCAACACTCAAAATTCACGCATCCACGCTCTGCCCACCGATGGCAACGAAAGTCACGTGGTTGCAGACTCCGACAAACTAACGTAAACAACATGGATGCGAGTTACAGAAATCGCACGGAAAAACTTTTCAGTCGGCTTGTTTGCCCACGAATTTATACAGAAACGTTTGTCAAAACGTAAGATATGTTTCAGAGAGATTTCAATCACAAAATTTTAGTAAGTAGAAGTATAATTTTAACCTTTACCGATCTAGATCGGTACTGCATCTGACTTGGAGGTCAGTTCAACTGTCTCCGAAATATTTACTGTTCTGATACGTACTGCATAGTAGATCAGGGAACGTTATTAATTTTCAATGTTTACAATAAAATTGACAATATTTGTTTGTTGTTTAGTTAGCATTAAAATCTCAACCACAGAGAGATTTTCCCCCCAATATATTCCATGTATCTTCATCGTTACTGAT